GGAATAAGTGGGGCATTTTCTGAAAATAAAGTCTAATTTTCAAATATTTCACATTGAAATTTGTGTAATCTGTGGCAGTGTTAGAGATATGACACCATTAGTGGACACGGTTTATTTCTGCCTATAATACTACAACATAATTGTTCTTACACAGAAATCCCTCCATCCACAGGATCCCTTATTATTCTGTAATGTTAAAAATACTTATTTGATACTTTAATGCAAGTATTGAGACTTTGTTCATGTCTGTTTTACAGCAGATCCATTTCTCTGTGTTTGTTTTTCAGTATGTCTATGTCTGTTCCTACTGTATATGTTTTTATTTCTCCAGGAGAGGGAACCATTGAGTTTCATTTTTTCAGCGTACTCAGTTTCAAGTATCACAACTATAATTAAGGGAATGCATTTCACGCCACAGGACATGAACCTACAGTGTTGACAGTGAAAATTATGTTTTTTGACACTTCAAACAATTATGTTAAAGATCAGTCATTTGAAACGTACTCTAAATGTGATTATAAGCCTAAATGCAACTTTTTTCAGTTAATTGTGTTAATACGTGATGCAGGGCATACTGACAGCTATTATCTCCATGATATGAGGTGGATCTTCTTAAAAGCATGAAAATTGTTCTTTAAGATTGAGACTAATGGTTGGCAACATGTTTATTTGTTGAATACTTGTTAAGCCAGTTGATGTGTAAAATTGAACACGATGGCCAGTCTGCATTACTTGGAGACTAGGATATTTTTATCTTGAGTATTATTATTATTAAGCCCTGAGAGTATCATGGTATTATAAGTAATTCTACGTTTTGACAGGGTTATTTATGGAGCTGTCAGTGGTTTGTGTTACGTGACAGTTTTCCCCAAAGATGAAAGTCATTATTGAAAACAGAGTGAAAGGCAACATTTTATTGAATGTAGTCAACGCTTCAATCAGCAGCAGTCCTCAGGGGAAACATCAGGAAGACAGGCATTTTGTTCAATCTGAAAACAGTTCTGAAAACCCAGTCATTTTTTCACGGTGACATTTATTGTGCTTTTTAACTGCTTTCACATGTCCGACTGCTGGCCTCAACAGTTGTGCATTTTCTAAGTTTGTGAAATTTTTTACCTTGATCGTTTACCTTTTAATAAACTGATTTCATGAAGGTCTTCTGCCAGCAGTGGTTTACTTATCTCAGTTTTATGTAGACGTTAGTGCATCAACGGTAAAAGTCAAGAGATTGTCATATAAATTCTTCCATTTATTGTGTACCAAAGAAAACTATGAGAAATTAAAACAAATTGCAAAACAAAGTGCAATAAAAAAAGATGCATTGATGATTATTGAAAACAACGAATCAAAAGTGAGCAGTATTATTTAAAACACAAAAATATTAAAACATGGTTAAATCAAGATGTCCTTAAAGGTCTCACTAAATATTGAGTGTGTTATATATATTTATTAATTAGTAATATGTTAATATATGTTACATAGGCAGACACTGCCAAGGCAAGATTACCTTTATGTTTTATAGGCTTAATTATAGAAACATCAGCTTTCTTTGCTGTGGTGTAGTAATGCTAAAATTACTTTACGGATCTATTCCTATTTAGAGTCTTATTTTGTAATATTACGGTAATATCTATCCAGTAATGGAGGATGCCGCTAAACCAAAGTATTACATAGCTGCATGTCTATTTCATAGACATACAGCTATGCTCTATGAGCAGATGACTAAGTTTTGTTACAAACTTCTAAAAAAACAAGAGCCTTTGGTCAACATGTGGAGATGGAAGGAATTATAATTATATGTGAAATGAAATAAAGGACTATGGTAGCTTTTATAAAAATTCCTGGCAGGAGAAGGGGCTTTATTTTGTTACAAGTCTTAACTAACAAAAAGCTCTTATGGCAATTTATGTGGCCAGCTTGTTAAACAGAAAAAAAAGACAGTCTAAATTATATCAGGGATTTTCAGCACAGATTCACAAAGGAAACACAAAACCTAAGTACAAATACTTAATGATTTCATATGTTAAGTACGTTTCCTGCTTTCTTTCTTTGTTATAAAACTACGTCTTCAATTTAAATCACATTTCTCCTGAAAAGGTCAAACAAAACGGCAAACTCTTATTTTATTTTTTTGTTTCCCATGCTGGAAGACGGTTTAAAAATAGACCAAAACTTTTCATAAATGTCACTGTGAAACTCTTACAACTAGAACCAGAGTTTTTCTATAGAGTTTTAGACTAAATCTAACTTAGGAGTTTAAAGATCAAGAAGGTGCAAGTTGACTGTTTTTCATTTCCAGACGTTCCTGTAACACAACCTTTGAACTTTTACAGCTCCATACTTATTCATTTTAGTTGAGTAATATTATTTTGAAGTAATGCTGCTTTTACTTACGCACAGCTTCTGGCTACCCACCTACAGTTACTTCATTAAATAAAGAGCACTTGCTACATCAAAGTGCAGCAAATACTAACACATCTTGTGTTAAAGTGAGGATTCATGTGATTTCTTGTTGTAATGTAATTTTCAGTCTGCTACGTCTGGAGGTCAAGTCAATACATGGTAATTAGTAAAATTTCAAAAACTTTTGAAAAAGCAGCATCATGTTCTACAGATGTGTTTCATTTGTTTGTCTTAGTCCTCTAAATTTAGTGAAACTGCAGAATACACTTCATGGATGATGGAGATTAACATAAATTAGTTAAATCAATGTGTTATGTGATGATCACATGATTTAATTCTTCTTTTCAATGAAGATGGACTATTCCACACTCAGAAAAAAAAATAACTGAGAGCACAGGAGAGTAAAATCGAAAATGGGAGCACGGCACAAGGGTAAGACGTGCAGCCCATATATGGAGGTCTTAGTCCTCCACGCGGTCGTTACAGGTTCGAGTCCCGGTCAGATTTCATTTGCCGCATGTTTTCCCTTTCTCTCACAACCTTTTGTCTGACAGCTGTCAAATAAAGGCCATTAGAGCCAACAAAACCTTTAAAAATTGAAAATGGGATGACAAAGCCTGCTTCATTGCTGTGTATATATTTCCATTGACAAAAGACAAGGTGGACAGCATACCATTTTAAAAGTCTGCCCTGTATCATGATTTGGGGTGTGAGTTTGCTGGGTATGCTGGACGGACCATTGTTTACCTCTGCTTCCAGTGACAGGGAGGCGTTTGTGAGGCAGATTGCTCTCAGGTGTGAGCGCAATCTTCTCATCCTTTGCCTGGGTTCACAAGATGCTGCCTGACGATCAGTCGATGCCTCTCAACCTATTTGGTACAACAGAATTCACCTTCAAGGAAAATTTGTATGATTCTGTCTTGAACGTCTCTTCAAATTTGTCCTGGAGGACACCCAGTCTGATCGGCCTCCTGCATCCTCGAGACCCAGGTTGTCAAAGAATCTCCGCATCTGACATCTCCTTCACCTCCTGTCTGCCAGCTCTGCAAAGTACCGATATCAACAAACTCTAGCACAGCTGCATTCTCCTTTGGATTACCGAGCCAACAGGATCTTGTCCCTTCTGCAACCCTACCTCTCATTTCTTCCTCTCCTTCCTCCGGTAAACCAACTTTGCCAGTGGTTCAAGAACTAGCCTAGAACAGGACACCTTGATTTGTTTCAGCTATGTTTGATTACCAGTTTTGCCACAAAGACAAAGACTGAGTCTGCTTTAAATGTTTTGCACCATTTGTGCGCTTTGTTAATTGTTTGTCATTCTAAATGTGCTGGTTAATTTTTATGAGGAATGTCCTAAGCCCTTAGATAAGTGTTACAGCCTGCCTCATTGAAACCTTCAAACTACACAGCTGAAATAAAAATGTCAAGAAAGACAAAGAAACCTTGTTGACCTTTTACCATTTTAATAATAATACAGCGATAATCTTGCTGCTTTTGATGTTTGTAGTCGGGCTGTCACTTCACAGTCAATGAAGTTGGTCAGCAGAAGGAAGCACAAAGTGGTCAAAAGTTTTCTTGGAGACGCCTGCATTGATGGCAGAGTCCAAAAAAGCACAGTGGAGCAACACCAACAGAAGCCTTCACTTACTGTAAAAACCTCACACTGGAGCTCAACTAATATGCGCCTCTCCAAGCATTCTCCAGACTTTGCAACCTTGATTAAGAAATGATAAACAAAATTCACTTTTATTTGAACAGAGGACCTTTTACCACGGAGCAATCGATCAGCCGTTTTCTCATTAGCTCAGGCAAAATGTTTCTGATGCTGTCTTTGGCTCACGTATCGCCTTAATACAAGAAATTCAGATGCCTTGCTTCATGTGTCAACAACTCCAGATCTTCTCAAGTTCTCAAAAGAGCTTTGCCTTCCAATCGTCTCTAGGCTACAGTTACTGCTGTTGCTTGTCCCTAATTTTTTTTTTAATTTTTTAATTTTTTTACTACACTTTACACTTGTTTGTTTCTTGTGTACTGAGATGCAGCGTTGGCCCTGACATATTCCATGGGAGACAAATAAAGATAGTTTGAATGCACTTAAATGATCAAAATTATGTAATTACAATAATAACATTTACGCATGCCATTCTAATCCATTAGAACGCCATAATTATGTTTGACATAAAATGTTTGTCAAAAATTTACATATTTTTATTCTAATTAAGGCTATTATACATATAAGCCAATAGATGACTGGGGTTTTAGAATGGTAGCCTACTGTGTCAATAACAATAGGTGAAATAATCCTGCTCCTTCTGGCCAATTATTATGCAAAGTTACATTATGCTCAACTAACTGACAAAAAGTGAAACATGAGCTGGTGGTCCACTTCATTTAAAAAAATAATGTAGCTAATTCATATAGGATCTTATCCAAATAATGCTCTTTCTCTCATAACAGAATTTCGCAGAAGCACAAACTTTTTCAGATCTCACTCCTGCCAAGTGATTACAACAACCGCTGCCCCGCACGCACAGCATTAATATTCAGAGTCTGTTGTTTGAGCGTCTCCCCCCCCTGCTTCTGCGCCAAGACATGCTCTCCATCTGTGTCCAGTGCGCGGATTAGACGCTTATTATCCTCTTAGCTCTAAATGGCCCCACGTTCCTTGCACTTGGTTGTGAGGCTCATCTGTTGTCTAAGAGGCGAATCGGAGCGTGGCACGACATCGATCATGCGTAAAAATGACCGTGGCCACCATTCATCGGTGTTTGCGAGGACGAATTGACGGCGGGATTTGTCGTCCATCGTCTGTCAGAGCGCATCTCCGGGGCTCGGTCACTAGGCTGCTCGTCCGTTCATGACCCACCCCACTGATCTTTTGCAGCCTGTAATCTTATCAGTGTCAAAGCGTAGCTGCCCTTTCCCCCACGGACAGATCCCGTGCGTCTTTGGAGGGCGTTTGTCTCCAAATTTGGAAGAGAGACGAGCTTTCATCTGAGACAGCTTCCGCACCAGCTGAGCATTTACTTATCGATAAAGTTGCGCTTTTGGATGTGTCCTAAAATGTGGATTTGACCAAGTGAAACTATGGATCCTACATGTAAAGAGAAGCGTCTGCTATGTTTACTTTTCTTTGCTATCTGCTCTGCCAGCGTTTGCTTTGGTGCCAGAAGATCAAATGCGCGGAGATCTGGTGAGTTCAGCTTCCACAAACTAGTTGGACTGGAAACATGAAATATTATTACAATGAGCATAACAATGAAATGAACTTGTAACATGGCAACGTGAGGCTGATAGCATGCACGGTTTCTTTGTGTCACTGACTGTATTTTTAAATGTTTTCACCTTTTATTCATGATATCACAGAAAACCAAAGCACCACTATTTAGTAAAAAAAGTACAATAAATCAAAGCAATCTTTTTATGTGTGTTCATAGGCAGCAAAAACACAACTTGGGACATTCTCTACTTAAAACAAAGCCCATTTCATGCCACAGAACATGAAACATGAACATTTTTAACAAAATTAAGTACAATTATGCCATTATTATTTTAATATGTGTTTTTGTTTTTTTTTTTTTTTTACTTATGTTTTTTTTCAGTCCAGCTTACTGAGAAGAAATTTAAATGCAACCATTTCTATGCAGAGTGATAAACATTTTTGTTTCTGGTTTTGTGTTTCAGCTTTTTAATTTGAAATCGAAGAATAAAAGAAAGAATAAAATTCACAAAAAAATGCTGGGAAATGTGATGGAAAAAATAAAGTAGAGATTAGAAAATGTGTGTCTTTTGCTTACAATCAAGAATGGATTCCAGAGAAAGAAAAACAGTTTATCAACTGTAAAAACAAAAACAGCAACTATTCTTAGTTAAAATATGCAAAAACAAATGTTGCAGAATAAAGATTTTTATCCAGAGGCACCACCTGATCTATCAAAGACAGTTCTTTAGAGGGAGCGTGTGTGCATTCATTATTCAGGAAATCAATGATTGTAATTTTAAGATAAGAAAGATCAAAGAGGTGAAGAGGTGAAATATTATTAGGGAATCAATCAGAAGCCCTCAGTCAAACCCAATCACCTCTTATACTTGATGAAGATCAGACTCAAAACAGAAATAAATCCACAAAACAAACTGGAAGATGTTTCAGTGAACTCCCTGGAGCAGCATCACATGTGGTTTTCACTGCAGAAACAAGCATGAATGTTGTTTCTAACCTAACCGTTGCTGCGCTGCAGTTTCTCACAATTAATTTTCTTTTTTGTTTTTCTCAAATTTCCTTGTTGAACAAACAGCTAAAAGTCGGACACTACTGCTAAAAGAAAAGAAGTTACAAGATAACTTGTGTACTAAACAATGACAGATCTTCCTATCATCAGCACCAAGCAGTCTACTCAGTAAATAACAAATAAATTTAATTATTTTTTTTATTTCAGCCAAGCTCTTGAGTTAAGTGATTTTTTTTCTCAACACCATGATGTCTGATCTCTACATTGCTAGATTTATAGTGCATATAGTTCTACTTCTATTTTACAAAGATTTTTTGCAAGAAACAATATAAATGCTTTTAAAATACGTAGATAAGTTTTAGTTAAAGGTTGATGCTAAGCTTCCTTCTGTCCATTTCTTACACCACTGCGTACATCTTAGCTGAAACCCTTGGATTCCTTTTCAGTCACACCCTCTTTGAATCCGTTTCTTCTTTGTTTCTTTGTCCCACTTCCTTTACTTTTCTTTCCATCACTTCCTCTTTCCCTCACTGTCATTCCCCCTGACCACTGACTTTTTTTTCACTCTCAGACCCCTCAGGCCGATGTGGGTTGACTTCTACGTCTGTCTGTCTGCACAGTGCCCGAGTCACAGCTCTGACTGCCAAACATGCACAGGGCTGGTGCAGCTCTGCATTTATGACTGCCAGTGACATTTGTACTTGTTTTTTTCTGTCTTGATGTCTCTCAGCGCTTGTTTTCATGGAGGGTAGAATGTCAGCAGGGCTCAGTGTCCACATGCATCACATCAGCGTTTGACAAAAAAAGCTGGTGGTTTTTCAGAAAGGGGTTAAAATTGAATGAAGCTTCCCCCCGCCCCCCTGAGGTGGTCTTTCTTTTTAATTCCTTGACAGCTTCATTCCCCCGTTTGAATAGACAGTTAAATTATTGATGGAATAATTCAGAAGCTTTGTTTTTTTTTCTTTTTACTCTTATTGTTATGCATATCTAGCATTATGAAGTTGATAAGAGAACCATGCATTTTAATGAACCCTCCATGACCACTTCTCGCACTTGAACTTTTGTTTGGTGGAACACAATTAAAATTTAATCACGACAAAAACAGTTGCTATTGTTTAAAGCACAGCGTTTTGTTTTCATACCTTCAAACTCGCCCCATTTTGTTCTTTAAAGGAAGACGGCTGCATGCGGCTCACTGATCTTTTTTTTTGGGGGGACAAAAATCTGTGAAGTAAATATTTTCGACGTAAATCCTAAAGTGGGGATATGGAAGCAGATTATTTACACTGCAGCTTTGTTTTAAGTATAAGATTACTATTGAACACATAAAAGCTGTGTTGAGTGTTGAAGCTGCCATTTTAATAATCGACAGAGAATCCAAATTTTTCATTACCAAAATAACCTGCTCTTTGGTTACATCCTCATACCGAATAAAATTCCTGTTCATGAATTCATTTTTATCAAACAATAACAATTATATGTGATACAGAATCTAATCAGAACAAAACATTTAGAAGATTTAGTTTTTGCTGACATCAGGATTTATGAATGTGAATAAGCCATCCATCCATCCATCCATCCATCCATCCATCCATCCATCCATCCATCCATCCATCCATCCATCCATCCATGCTCCTGACTCAAAAAGGAATACCAAAACACTTTCTAGCTCATTCTGGATGAGCTTAAGTTTTTTTTTTCTTCTTTTTTTTCTTTTTCTGGGGTTTATTCTGCTGTGTTTTGGACAAAGGTAGAATTTAGACATATGACCTATAATTTATTTAACAATGGCAACTGATTTTCTGAGACATGATATTAAAAAAGAAACATAAAAGGACATTTGATAAAATTGTAAAATATTCAAAATATTTATCACTTGTTCATAAATTTGGGGATTAATCATGACATCCAAATGAATTTTCTTATATTTGCAATTTGAATTTAATTTTAATTTTTTCGTATGCCAAATTAAATTGAAATTTGTATTGAAATATTTTTTAATTACTTCTGGTTAATTTGAGTCTGAAAAACCTCAATTCTAGGCAATATTTAATCTGGGAAAAAACACACAATCTAGAAGCCACAGATCAGGTTGACAGGATGAGAGGCCAGGAAAATATTCATTCAACTGTCTCTATCATGTTTGAAGTGGACAGTGGCCTCAAAGGATTTAGAAGGGCACTTGGCAAACACAGACCAGCGGTGATTCTGAGATTATCTTCTCGATAAGACAAGAGGGCATGTCTCAAGCCTCGCAGAGTATTACTAGATGTAGCATGTGCTGATTAAAAAACAAAAACAATATCTGTGAAGTTAAATCTAACATTACTAATTGAAGTTACCTAATCTTGACTGATTTGACCTTTCTTCTGTCTGTGTTTGGGGAAACAGAGATATACAAAGTTCACCTGATGGAAGTACCAATCCTTGTTAAATGAGTGACATGAGAATATCTGGAGGTTATTTGTGATTCACATGTAACATATCTGGATTAAACTGTTGCTTTTATCTACAGTGAAATTATTTTTACCTTTTAAAAGCTTTGAACGGGTCATGCATGCCTTTATTACATCCCAACAGATATATTAACTCTTTTTTACATTGGTGTTAGTTAGTTCTGCCTTGCATGACTGCAGCTTGACCTCTGACTTGACACTAAAGCATGAACATGCTGTTCTTGCTTCTCTTCGCTGGTTTACTCTTCGCTTCATAATTACCTTTAAAGTTTTATCATTGACCTACAAGGCACTGAAATTACTCGCTCCAGCCCTCTTGCATTCATATGTGCCCTCTGAGTCCCTTACATCTAATAATTGGTTGTTTTTCACTGTTCCAAGGTTTATGCTGGTCCCCAGAGATAATCAGGTCTTTGGAGTTGGAGGTCCTAAATAAAGTACTCATTGACACTAACATCTAAAACATGTTAGTAGATGTCTTAAGTTACATCTGTGAACATATTTGGATGTGTCAGGCTACGGCTACTTGCACACATTTAAATAGATGATGCTTAACCTGTAGTTTCAGCTGGTCGGTGTTTCCTCAACTGGTTGGTTATTTTCCAATTATTATAAGCAGATGAGAAATCAAGCAAACACTGTTTTGACTTTAGGTTTTGCAGGTGATGTCCTTTTATGATTGCTGATAATGCATTAGTAGGTGACGTCCAAGTCTTTCCATTCTAACAGCATTTACAGTCTGCAACAGAAAATGACCAATTTAAAAATATTCATCTACACAACTCTTGAGTTCTCAGCAATTTAAAAGGATGAAAAGCACCAAATCAATACTGTATTATATTATTATTATTATTATTATTATTATTATTATTATTTTACCTCTGCTCTTGTTGTAACTGTGCAACTAGCAAGGGAAATAAATACGCTGGTTCGGGGGTGTCATATGGTGTAAAGGTAGAACGGAGGCTGTTAGCGCTCGACGCAGCTGTCCGGGGATTGATTCCTGACCTCAGGATATTTGCTGCATGTCTTCCCCCCTTCTCTCGCTGCCTGTTTCCTGTCTGCATACTGAAAAAGAAAGGCCACTAGTGCCTGGTTAGAGTCCAGTTCTTCATGTCATCCCTCCAACCTTTCAAAGATAAAGCAACTAGCATGACCATATTATCCAGATTATTATGTAAAACCACATGTTCTTTAAATGTTAATTATGTGCCTAATCTTCCTACAAGCTTGAATGTTTGCGCATTAAAACCAATATGTTTTTTCCCAGCCAGTCTCTTAAGATAAGTGATTTTTTTCTTAAGGATATTAAGTTTACTCAAGAGCTGCAGATAAGGCTACCAGGAAAAAAAAAAAAACAATCATGTGAAGGAATAAAAGCAGCAAACAACTGTGATTTTCTAAGATCTGTCTCCCACTGATAATCACAGTAATAATATGTCAAAAATCTATCTAAATTATTAATTATTTTCTATCAATTAAACCATCTCAATTACATAAAAAGAGGGGTGATTTATTTATTTTTTGTTTCTCAGGAATCAAATGTATCTTGGACGAATCAAATTTAATTTAACTTAAGTTAAAGGGACAGCGTTATGTAAAATAGACCTTTTTCAGTTACATCATGTTATAATGTTATTCCCTCATCAAGCAGCCTTTTTTTCTTGCAATGGCTCCTTCGCCAGAATCAAAACAACCTGGAGCTGATTCTTTTAGTTTTATTAGATGATAATGCAATATCATCGTCTGTTTCAAGACCTTTATTCTTATGCTCTGATGTAAAAGTGAGTTAAAACCTTAAACATAAACTTTTATATGTCTATCCTCTTTTACCTCAGCTTCATGAAACTCATTTTCCATCTTTATAACTGATTATTATTCCCAATTTGTGAAAAGTCGAAAGCATTTCTCAGGCAGGGAATCTAACTCTAAAAACAAAACAAAACAATAGATTTCTTTAGGTTTTACAAAGGCAAAATGTAAAAAAAAAAAAAAATAATTGTGTCAGCTTAAAATCATTAAAGGTTATGGTTCTTATGGGATTCTGTTTTTTCCCCTCTGATAAACATTTTCAAGCCACCTTTATAAATGTATAAAGAGGAGAATATTGTTAAGCTTGTGTTTCAAGCAGTTTAGCTTTCATTTATAGAAATAATTCCATTAGAAATCCATTTGAAAACACATATATAAATAAAATTAAGTCTTGGTCAGTCAGAATGTGTTCTCAACAGTTCTTGAGAGCCTTGTCCTGGTAACTCTTGTACTCTCCCCGTCTGTATCTTGTTGGTTTCCTCGCTGGTTATATCCATGTTTATGTTTGTGCAAACCAGATCGTCTGAGTCCTCCATTGGACATCCAGCTGGAGACCCTCAATTGCAGCGCCTTCAGTGTGCGATGGAAAATGCCCCGCAGACATGTCAGCACGATCACTGGATACAAGGTAGGTGCAAACAGATTCTGGGACACTTTATTAATTGTCCACAATTTGAATACTTAATGAGTGTAGTGATCATTTAGAAATTATTTCTGACTGTTTTTACCTATCTGCCATCCTTTGGTGGTCTTATTTTGAAAGTCCTTCTACTAAGTAGAGTGTCTTCAAAAAACACACGAAAACAGCAGAAACACCTTTCGAAATCTCACAAAGGTTTTCGAGATGGAAAATAAATCAAATTTCCACTGTTTTTTTTTTTTCTTGAGTGCCTGCTCATTTCTTCCTGCATGGCTGACACACTCTTCACTTCGCTCTAAAGTGCCCATAAAACCATGTGTCCAGGAAGATGGCCATGAGGAAAAAGGACAAGTTATTCTTATCTCCCATCTGTTTGAATGGAACCCTTTCCTTGCCAAACATATATGGTTAATTTTTAGGTGCAATATTGCTCTGGAAGGTGAGGTCAAATAAAATACATACTACATAAACATACATGCATAAGTGGGATTATCTTTTTTTTAAACCTACGTGGTGCATATTTTGTACAATAGTTAGAAAGAGAATGTAAAGTGCACATCCAGTGTGGTTGCATAGTTTCATTGCTTTCTTTGATGCACCGTTTCAACGCTGGCCATGTGTTTGAGCCTTACATAACACACCAGAAGTTTCTTTCTTCCTTCCTTGAACCAACCATTAAGAAATTGTGGATAAGTGTAACTGTGGGGGCTTGGTCTTGGGCCATATGTCTGCACTAAGAGGATTAGTCAGGACACTGGCTTCCCAAGAACTTACAGAGACGCAAGTGTGTTGCTTTGCAAGTTCAATAAAAGTCCTGTTTCTTTTTATTACATTCTTATGGTTAGCCATAAATAAATTGTTGCTGTTCTGTCCCAATACTGCAAAAACTAAATAATAGTAATTTATATCTGTTTGTGTACTTCTCAGGTCTTTTACACAGAGATGAAAAATGGCCGCCCAGTTAGTACGACATCCATCATGGAGGTTCCGCTAAGTTTGGACATGCTAACCACTGTGAGTATACACATGGAGCTATTTGTTATCTGCCATTAAAAAGCTGGAGTTTAGCACCTAGAGGCTAAGTCCTGTTCAGCTCTTTCCTCCCTGGTCTTTACCCAATCCCTACAATTTGAAAGTTTAAGCTTTACAACATGTTTAAAGACAGAGAGCAAAGTTGGAAAGAAAGGGAAAGGGAAGACAAATAAATGCAGAATTTTTGCATTGGAATAAATAAATATTTGCATGAAATTAAGTAGGTATTTTCAATATTAATTGCAACAAGCGTAAATATGGCAGTTTTGACATAGTAGTCGAAAAGGACATGCAAAAGCGGGTTGTATCTCTTAAATGCTTTCATACTTTGTTTGCAGCTACTAACTTCAGAGTATTTTATAGGAGTTATTATAAGTGATAGACAAAAACACAGTGGTGCATGACTGCGAAGGGAAAGGAAAATGAT